GATCTCACTAATTGCTTTGTCAAGTCCCTACAACATATAGAGGATAAATAGTTAAAATAATAAACAGATTAACATATTTAAAAAACACATTTAGCAGAATATAAGTTTACCTTCTGCTTGTCTGTAATAACAGTCAACTCTATCTCCAAGCTCAAGATCATTCTTTAAAAGATTCACAAACCATCTCTAATTAAATGTGTTTTCAACTTCAACTATTGCCCAAGTCAATGGAAACATCTGGTTATTCCCATCCTTACAAACAGCCACAAGTAATTTCCATTTACATACACCTTTCAAAAAATAACCATCAAACCCAATACACCTCCTACAACCATCAAGGAAGGCATTCTTCAATGCATCAAAGAAGATATAAAATGCTTCAAATATTTTTCTACCATCTTAATATGTTTCTTCACTAAGTCTCACAACACATGTTCTGCCTGGATTAGTCCTTAGCAGCTCATCTCTATAGTCCAGAATTCTGCCAAACTCCTTAACATGGTCTCCCATAATCTGTGTTAACACAATATTCTTGGTTTTCCTTACAATAATCCTTCCAATATACACTTTTAACTTCTTTTGAACTAACTTCTGAAACTTAAAGATTCTAATATTTGGTTCAGAAATTATTCTGTCCTTATATCTTTCTGCTAAGTACTTTGAGTTGCACAGATTGTTCCTGGTAGTACCATTGTACTTGTAAAGTAGATTATTGTTCTTCACTATAAAATCTTTTGTCCATGAATCATAACTAGCAAACAAGAGCTATGGACAGCCAACACAATACTTTACCCTCACCTTTGTTGGTTCATTAATATACTTATCTAACTCTACATGTTCATCAACTGCATACTTAGTAAGTGCTTCTTTAAACTATCTAACACTCTCAAAAGAAAGGCCAGTTTTTCAAACCTTTAACTTACAACAAGGATCAAAGATAACCCTATTTTGCTGCTTTCTTCTTGCTCTTAGTGGCTGTTGGACTTCACCTTCACCTTCATCATAAGAAGTTTCATCAGGATCTATTTCAAAACTAGAAACTTCATCTGAGGGATAATATGGCTCATCTCCAGCAATCTTACTCTCTAAAGATGTCTTCTTCCTAGATGCATACTCATCATATTCTATATATGGACCCTTTTTACCTAACTTGGCATGTTTAGTTTCAACCTCTTTCTCTTTTCTTTTCCTTCTCTGCACATTTTTTCTCTCTTCTCTTAAACTCATATACTCCTCATCAACATCACTACCATATTCTTCTCCTCCCTCCTCAAACAGCTCTTCAATTTCTAAATCTGTACTATGGTCACTGCTTTCTACATTAGTTTTAACTAATGGAGTATCATCAAGATTAAAAGGATCACTCTCATCCCCACCAGGCACATTATCAGCAGCAGGGACACTATTTTGTGGTTCTTCAAATCCTATACCTTCACTTCCCCCAACACTTTGATTTATCCATTTATCAAAAGACACACTAGATTCCCCACACACATAGCTTACATATTCAATAGCTGGAGGGACCACTAATGCTTCATCAATATAGTGGGGCGCATACACTTCAAATATATCCCCACTTTTTAATAGAGGCACCATACTCATAATATCCCTATTAGTTAAACTTTTTACCAAAGTGCTAGAATTGGGTGATCTCACATAAATGTAACATGTTTCACAATTATACTCATTTTCTTTCACATAGTCTACAAACTCAAAATACGAAAATCTCTCAACATTAATATCAAAGTACTCTGTCATAATACCTCCTTAGTAGTTGATAGGATACTGTTGTAACTGACCTCTATGGAACATCCTCAGTGTAACGAGCTCAAAAGCCATTTCTTCGAACTGAAATCAGTAAACAAGAAAAATGTCTATAAATATTTTTTTACACTTCAAAATCGACAAGAGATTGAACAAAACAAGAAGAACCTACAAGAGAAGTAAACGATATTTAGTATCTACAATCTAATCGACGAGATCTGGGAAAAAATTGACACTAGGTTTTGAGTTCATCAACCTTTTTCTCGTGTTGTTTAGAGAAAAATGAGGTCGGGTAATTCATCCTAGGGTAAAAAATAAAAAATAGCGGGTCAGGTATTTTAATCGGGTGAGTTTTTGAGTAATGGACCGGATCATTAAAATGGTTTGAGTTCATTAATGACGTGGCATCACAAGAAAGAGCGTGGCTCACACTCGTTAGTCTTTAACTGGTCCGGAGTCATGGAGAGTGGAACAAAATTCATTTACAATGTGTTAAGGGGGTAAAAGAATATCCGTTTAGTTAAAGTATTCAAACATATTTTTTGGACAAGTTTAATGGAGTCTTTATATATTTTGCCTAGAAAGTATACGTAGAAAGTTAGCTAAACTTGGAAATCTGATTGCCATGGATGGCATCTCAGCTGTCTGTAATGATCCATGGATCCTATGTTTGAAGTTTCGTAGTATTAATGAATAAAATATTCCAGTTTCTCAAAAACAAAATTATTCTAAATTATGAAGTATGCATTTGTACTTCCCTTAAGAAAATATTAAGTATTTATTTTATTAAAGTAACCTTATTAATGGCAATTAATTTATGTTTGAAAATATGAATTTGATTACTAGTACTCCAATAAGTTTGAGAAATCAAATTTATAATATGATAATTAGGTCAATCTGCATCCAAGTAATCATAGTTAAGTAGATAATGACATTTTACCTAACATCAGAAAATAACTAGCTGCTTAGTTTCATTTTTTTTTTTAGTTGGCTTTGGTACGTCAAAATTCACAATTGGAAAAATTCTCCCTTGAAATTGACATATACCAAATTATCCTTTCCTAATTTGCTGTTTGTTGACAATTCACGAGTTTTTCGTTTAAATAATGGAAATGACCCATTCAGATTTCATACGAAGCTTCTCTTTATGTTCATCATTTTTTTTTTGGGGTGGAAGTGACAAGTTTGAATCTTTACTACTAAGCTAATTTCTTGATAACTAAAACTTCTGTATATGCCAAACAAGAAAAGAAATAAATTAAAAGTCTATTTCTTGATAAGTACTGAACAGTTGGTGCAAACTTCCGAAAAGTAATTTCTACAGAGAACTCTTATAAAGTAGTATTCAAGCCTTCAAGGTAAGTTGCTATAAAATGTAATCCTCTTCACTATTTACCCATTCTCACCCACAATATATTTATATAAATATAAGAATAAAAATAAAAGGACAAACAAAGTGTTATCAAACTATATTTCATTCTTTATTCTTTTTTCTACCATATTATAATTATGTAACTTATTATTGTCTTAATAAAAGCTATTTTTGAATTTCGAATGTTAAGCTTCTTAATTTTGATCCAAAATCCCAACATAGAACTTTTAATTTTTTTTTGAAATAAAATTTATATATTTAAAAACTACAAAAAAACATCATACATCACAATAATTAATAATATATAATATTTTAAAAGTATAAAAAATTACAATTAAAGAAAATTTCATTTAACTTTTGTAATATGAAGTACATCACATAAATTGAGACAGCAGAAGAGTACATAATTTTAGGAGGATAGTAGAACTCTATAAAGTTAAAATATGAAATGAGACAAGTTCAAGGTCATATGTATTATCCCCATTAAACAATCCATTTAATCGTACTATACTTTCTTAGCAAGAGAATATTTCAAAGCTATAAATGAGAGACCAGGTCAATTCAATACCTATATCCATTAGAAAAAACAAAAATGAATAATGACCAAATCTATAGCTTCTCCCTTTCATTTTCACTAATTAAGTTTCAACGAAAATGACATAGAAACGTAACTGTATTTAGAATTTTATTAGAGTCCACACGCCACCGCCTTCTCCTGAATTATTACTCGTTTTTAGCTGTTCATGGGTGAAATAGTATTCTCATCACCAACAGACATACTCATATCTTGTACATCTGTATTTTCCCATAGACATACTCATACCGTGGTGAAGTCAAAAATTTCATTTAAGGTGTTCAAACTTAAAATAAGTAAAAAGAATTCTCGATAAATGATGTTTAATATATGTTATATATCATTAAAATCTAATATTTTACTTATATATACAACATAATTTTTCGACGAAAGTGATCAGTTGACCACCCTTAGGGCCACGTACCTTCGCCCCTGTACTCATATCTTAGACATCTGTATTTTCCCATAGACATACTCATATCTTGTACATATGTGCTTTCCCATAATTGTTTTTGGTTTTTTTATTTGGTGTCCGGCAAAGGCGGCTGTTCCAGGGTTCAAGAGGATGGGTGCACTATTGTAAAGAGATGGATTTAGAATTCATATTTGACAGGTTTAACTTTAGTCTCTTACCCGAACCCACTATACTTTTGAAATTATAGGTTCAAAATTATACTTTTTGAAGTTTTACTGATTTTCTCACACACACATACATATATATATATATATATATATATATATAGGTTTTGAACCGTCCAAAGTAGGTTTTGAATCGCTAATTTAACTTGTAGAGATACACCAATAATTATTGCACCATAGAAGTTCTTAAACATGGGTGCGCATACATATATTTAAGTAATTTTAAAAAATATAACATTATTATATATGATTTAAGAAGAGGAGCATGAGTTTATATAAATACATATTTTAAAACCTAAATACGCCCTTGATGTCCCATATTTATATTAATGCCCAATTAAACTCAAATTTCCATTGAAAAATCCTACGTTATAATGTAAAACAATATCTAACAATGACGACTTTATGCTAAGTTCGAGCCTAAAACCTCTAAGGTTGAACGAAGGAGTACTTAATTACCACGTTTCCTTACAAACTTTTCAAATATTTAGTTTTCAACCTCCTTATTCTCTCTCCATCTCCTATATATTTCCTCTCCACAGTATCTTCTTCTCCATTCATTTTCGAGTTCTTCTACTTTCCTACATTCAACAAAACCAGTTCTCCTTTTTTTTGTCCCTCTGCAAAAAACAAGAAAACCAACTTTCATATATGGCTTCTTCCACAGGCTTCAAAATTTTCTTACTTTTAGCTCTTTTCATCACTTCATGCATAGCTCAATCCCCTGTTCCAGCACCTAAAATCTCCCCCACCGCTTCACCAACTCCGACACCGGCGCCGGAAATGTCGCCGCCGACTCCAACTCCGACCACCTCACCGACTCCATCCCCAGCACCTTCATCAAACACTCCATCACCTTCACCACCATCTCTCCCTGTTTCACCACCTTCACCAACCCCCGCCGGACCTGGTGCTTCTCCGCCAGGTCAGCCCGTCGCCGACGTCCCACCGGCACCTAGCTCCAGTAACAGAGCCGTCTTTGGTGGAGCTGCATTTGTTGGAGCTCTCATTGCTGTTGCTTTGATGTAGAGCCACGTGTCTAGTTGGGAAGAGATTGTACTTTTGATGGACGGACGAGATTTGTTTAGTTGTTTTTAGTTTATTTAGGTTTTTATTGTGTCTATTATTTTGGTATATTTGTGATTTTTTTACATTGGATTTGAGGTTAGGGTGATTGATTCATATTTGGGGGATACATGACTCTTTTGTATTGACATGTTTATTTATTTTGTATTGAATAATTACTCCAAGTACATTGAAATAAGTTATTAAATTTGATTTTGTATTCTTTTTCCTTAATATTAGATACCTCCTTTTCTTTCCTCTCAGTATTTGCTTAACCATGAATTTAGTATTTTAATTAATGTGTCATTTCCGAAGATGAAGCAAACTTGACCAATATTGTACCAATAAATGTCATCTCAAATATTCTTTCTTGACAACTTGGAATAATTTTTATGAGTTTGTAAAGAATGAAGAGACATTATAAAAAAAAAAACCGACTTCATCCATAGCCATTTCATGGATTCATCCTCTTTGAGTCGGCAATCTTTTTATGAATTGCCGACTAGCACAAAATCGGTGTATAAGTAGCAATAATTGAGCCAATTAATAACTCTACAAGCTTTTTCAATTACCTATGAGAATAGTAAAATTAACCCAAACAAGATAACACAATAAAAATTGTAGCAACACTTCTCTTCCAATTAAAGTAAAACCACAATTAACTTTGCAATTCAATTAGAAACTCGTTCAACAAATTCAAGTAACTGATAGAAATCAAACACTCCAATAATAATCAAGTCACAATATGTGTCAATAACCCTAAGAAGGACTACTCTATAGTGGAGAAATTATTCATCACAAGAGTATTAAAAGAACAAGAAAATATTACAACCCACGAATACAAACAAACTTTCGTATTGAATGAATCAGAAGAAGTATTCAAAGACTCTGTTATTTTCTTGCCTTCTTCTCACCAAATAATACTCCAAAATCCAAGATACCTAGTTTGGGACGAGCTTAGGCTTTATATACGTCAAGGAGAATGCCCAAAAATTACAAAAATAGGTATGTATTAAGTTTTTTGCCTGTAGCGCACATGGAAGCTTGGGCACGCATCTATGGCAGTGTCCAATAAATATACCATAACTTTGTTTAGGAGAGTCGAATCGACGAGCTATTTGAGCTTTTGAAAACTAGACTCAAAGATCTGCATTTCTTCCCAAGAATAATGATAAAAATTCTTATAGATTGTGAGATATCATTGTTTGAAATGAGAACATATGTTTCTAGAGAGAAACTTTAGCTCCAACCTCTAAATCCTACTATCTATTGCTTGAATCTTCTTTCCTTGTCACCATGTAACTTCAGAAATATCGTATTCAATCATCAAAAACTCTCCTTTGCTATCTTTTGTATATTCTTGGACCTTTTCCCCTTTTTCTTCTCACATCTACACTTAGAATTTTCATGCACATCAACAAAACACAAATGTGAGTTTTCTAATAAAATTATCACCAAATTACTCACCAAAAATATAATAACCACCCGAAATATAATCAAATAAAACCCTCAATATTAAGTTCTTTAAACACCCCCACACTTAGCTTTTGCTCGTCCCGAGCAAATGTAGAAGTAAATTGCTCTTAATATTGTAACCACCTTAGACAGTCGGCCGACCAGAATCAACTAGACACCATCCTATGGTCACATTCAACCTTAACCCCGGTCATGACATCCCACTAGTGTCGTGGTCAAATCGGCGCCAAATTCTCGATACACCTCACAAGAAAGGAACATGCTCATTCACACACTAATTATGAGAAAATCATACGGCAATAAAGCAAAAAATCGCTCACCCTCACAAAAAAGTGGATCATGCCTTTAAGAGTAGCATAAGCTTGGCCATTGTGTGACTCTCCACTAATGTAGGAACAGTTTCGTCGGGATCATGTAGGGCTTTGCATTTGGTTGTAATGTAGGCTATGGGACGGGTCAGATATAATCTGGATAAGAGTATCTATACCTCCCTAAGCACTTTCATATCTATAACTTCATACGTGACCTATGACTTTTACAGTGACAATTGCCTCCAAACTCCTAATTCAGAAGAGCACCCAGTTTCCATGTCTTTAAGCACATCATAATAGGGATTTAACATCAATAGAGGAATGTTTCCTTGTGCTCACTCTGCACAGCATGAGAGTATTATCTCTCTCTTTTTTTCTTTCTCAATTACTTTTCACAATCCCCTACTCATGTACATCACATACATTCAAGATGGTGCACCGTTTTTCACTTCTTTTTAGTTCCACTCAAAAACCAAGCCCAACCCCCACACTTAGTTCTCTTCATCTTTTAGAATCACGCACAAGGTATTCAAGTGCTTAGGGAAGGCTAAGGGTCTAGGTCATAATATGGTTTCCAAGGAAAGAGGGATTTAGGCTCAACTGGGCTAACTAGGTATAACTCTTCAATTCTTTGGAAGGGTCAAAGTAGTAGAGAAGGGCTAACAAAGAGGGCCTACAATCATCTCCAAACTCAACTATTACCTATGATTTCGCTTTGAGTCACAACTAAGCCAAGTTCTAGACTCTGTAGGGAATGACTAATAAGAAAGCATTCATCTCACCACATACAGTATTTTGGATAGGCACTCAATTCGGATCGCAATCACCGATGGTCTCTTTAACTTATAAGGACATGATCATGCACCCCAAAAGTCAGGTACAATCAATTTTGGCAACCACAAGAAACTTTTTAAAAACTTATCTAAAAACAAAGAAACAACAAAATCTACTCTAGAAAGTATTTGGTTCACAATATTACGACTATGGTAAATAACCAAACAAGAAATCCATGGAAGTACAAGACAAGAAAATATCCTAGTAAGATAGAAATAAAATATTTTTGTTTTTTTAATAGCTATTTATAGCCCCCCACCCCAACACTTGAAATTGTGGCATGTCCCCATGATATACAAGTATAAAGCAAGAGATAAGGAAACTCCCCTGAATTATTTCCGTTTTCGAGCACTTATGAACTCAACCCCTAGTTCTAAATTCATTCCTCATTTCTGCTCCTTGAACTCTTTGTTCCAAATGTATTTTTCATGAAGATATTTCATCTTTTCTTTGAGACTTTCACTTTCCCACTAGCTTGTGGGTGATAGGGAGTCGTGACTTTGTGAGTAACACTATACTTGCTAAGTAAAGTGTCAAAAGCCTTGTTGCAAAAGTGTGACCCCACATCGCTTATAATTGTACGTGGATTACCAAACCTTGTGAAAATATTTTTCTTCAAGAAAGCCACTATACTTCTCGCCTCATTGTTGGGTAAAGCAACGACTTCAACCCATTCGGATACATAATCCACCGCGACCAAGATGTAGTAAAGCAACCGGCCCTTTGACATTCATCACATCTTTTTACTAACTCACTAGCATCCTTGTAAAGAGTGGGCCAATAGAAACCACAACTAAGCACTTTGGCTACCGTTCTTGCTCCACCATGATGACCACCATATGGCGAAGAATGACAAGCCCCAAGAACACCTCCTAATCACCCCATTCATACAAATCCGGAAAAGGTATTGTTCATCCCAATAATAATCTTGACAATTCCTTTTGAGCTTCTTCCATTGGCTTGAAGAGAACTCATCCGTAATGATTCCACACATAAGATAATTTGCTAAGTCTGCGAACCATGGAACCTCTTTCATTGAAATTATCAATAGTTGCTCATCGGGAAAGGAGTCATTAATTTCAAAGTCATCATGCGGCCTCCCCTCATCCTCCAAATGAGACAAGTGGTCCGTCACTTGGTTTTCACTTCCTTTTCTATCTTGGATGTCAATATCAAATTCTTGTAACAAGAGTACCTATCTCATCAACCGAGCTTTGGAATCATTTTTGCTCATAAGATAACGAAGGGATGCATGATCCCTGTGGACAATAACTTTTGCACCCATCAAGTACGGGTGGAACTTCTCAATTTCAAACACAATAGCAAAGAGCTCTTTCTCTGTAACAGTATAGTTGACTTGGGTACTATTCATGGTCTTGCTAAAATAGTAGACTGGATGAAACATCTTGTTGATACGTTGCCCTAAAACAGCCCCAACCATTATGTCACTTGCATCACACATGAGTTCAAAAGGCACACTCTAATTTGGAGCAGTGATGATGGGAGTAGTTGTCAACTTGAGCTTCAAAAATTCAAAAGCTCTCATGCAATCATCATTGAAATTAAACTTAGCATCCTTCTCAAGAAGCTTGCACAACAGGTTCACCACCTTAGAGAAATCATTGATGAAGCGCCGATAAAAACCTACATGGCCTAAGAAACTACCCACACCCTTCACCGAAGTTGGGGTGGAAGCTTAGAAATCACCTCCATCTTTGCCTTATGGCCAAGGACAATATCTTTCTCGACCATGAAATGACATTTCTCCTAATTGAGCACCAAATTGGTTTCTTCACATCTACCCAACACTTGGTCCAAATTTGCAAGACAATCATCAAAAGAATCTCCAACCACCGAGAAGTCATCCATGAAAACTTCAAGGTAGTCCTCCACTATGTTCGTGAAAATAGCCATCATACACCTTTGAAAAGACGTTGGTGCATTGCACAAACCAAATGGCATCCGCTTGAAAGCAAAAATACCATAGGAACATGTAAAGGTTGTTTTATCTTGATCTTTCGAAGCAATGAGAATGTGGTTGTAGCCCGAGTACCCACCAAGAAAGCAATAGAAAGCACGCCCGGCCAATCTATCGAGCATTTGATCTAAGAAAGAAAGTGGAAAATGATCCTTCCTTGTAAATTTGTTGAGCTTGTGATAGTCCATACACACCCTCCAACTGGTTATCGTTCTTGTAGGAATCAACTCATTCTTGTCATTGGTGACCACCGTCATGCCCCCCTTCTTTGGGATACATTGAACTGGAGAAGTCCATGAACTATCGGAGATGGGGTAGACAACCCCGACATCCAACCATTTGATAATCTTCTTCTTGACAACTTC